CTCTGCCACCAGGGATGAACTGGTGGTAGTGGTGATGGTGGTGCTGAACTACCTTCGAGTCAAGCCCAACTCATGGCAGCCCTGTGAATGAAACACCTCCAAGATTCCTTGTCTTCACTGCTCTGCTTAAGTCTTACCGATTCATATTCATGCCTATGACTTCTTTGATTGACTCCATCCATCTGTCATGTGGCCCTCCTCTCTTTCTACATCCCTCTCTTTCTACATCCCCCACCTTTCCTAGTGTTATTGTCTTTTCTAATTATCTTGCCTTCTCATAATGTGGCCAAAGAATGACCTCAGTTTTGTCACCTTGGCTTCCAGGGAGATTTCAGGCTTGATCTGTTTTGGGACCCATTTGTCTTTTTGCCTGTCCACAATACCTTCAGCACTCTTCTCCAACACCATATCTCAAATGAGTTTAATTTTATTTCTGTCAGCTTTCTTTACTGTCCAGCTCTTGCACCCATACATGGTGATGGGGAATACAATGGCTTGGATGATTCTGACTTATACTTCAGGATGAACTGGTACCAGCCAGGTAATATTTACAGCAGGGACCAGGGGAGTTTCTAGGAGGGTGTGGACTGCACAGGGTGACACTGCAGAGGGGATGCCTGTTTTCTGGTGTGGAGTGTACCGCTGCACCTCTCTGTGAGTAAATCAGAATTCCCAGAGACTGAAGGTTCACCCACCCAGAGGCAACAAGGAAATGGCTGGGTCACTGTTGGCATGCCACAATGAACTCCTGGATGAGAACTTCCATCACCAAATGGCCCCTGAATCCCTTTGGGACTTGTGAACAAAGCAGGTAGACCGGCAGGTTGAGGTCCACAAAATAGATCCTTCAGGTGCCCTTTTCCACTATTGATAGCACTATTAGTCCAGAGCAGGGGTCAGCAAACTTTTTGGGGGTGGGATCGGATCCGCTGTCCCCCGATCTTTGGCGTTCCAAAGGGGGGGGATGGCTGCAGAGGCGTGCGCACATGTGCACGCGCGCGCATGCGCACTCCCCCCGCCATGGTGCGCATGCATACGTGAGTTTGGGTTTCTATGGTCGAGCAGGGATATGAACCCTGGTGTCCAAATGTAGTCTAGCAATCAAACCACTACATCACACTGACTCCTGGGCAACCAAGAACCTTCCGCTGGATTACAGCTAGCATCATCCTTCACCAAATGCTATGCTGGCTGACTGATTCCAATCATAATTTTATTTATGTATTTGTTTTTTATTGTAGGAGTGGTGTTTTTGAATTTATATTAGAATTACGAACCCAAAATTAATAAGATCAGAGAGTATTAGAACCACCCTTTTCACATACCACCTCTGTCTTCCTGTCGCTGATCCTTGCAGCTCATCTTATCGCCTATTTCCAAATCCTGGAAAAATTGCTTACAACTCCCACAATTCCCCTGGACTACAGGGTACTGTAGTCCAAGCTATGCCCACATCTACTTTGGCACAAAGTATAGGGTTAATCAATGATCAAATATTTCTATAATGGGTAATATACACTTTACAACAACTCTCACCTGCACATTTTCAATGTCAAAATATGCTCCACTCTCTACCATAAGGGTTTAGATTGTTCATAATACAGTTCATCCACATGGGTTCTCTCATGACTGATAAGAGCTGATGTTGAAGGAAAACAATCACCACACATCAAACAGGTATAAGGTTTGTCCACTGCACAGGTTCTCTGGTGTCTTGTGAGGTCTGCACTTTGAACAAAACTTTTTTGGCATCTCAAGCATTTGTGGGTTCTCTCTGCTGGATGAAGCCTCTTGTGTTTGGCTAAGGGTAATAGATCAGCAAAACACTTCCCACATTCTAAGCATTTAAAAGGTTTCTCCTCTGTGTGCACTCGTTGATGTCTCATGAAATGGGATTTGTCAGCAAAACGTTTTCCACACTCAACACAGTCATAGGTTCTGTCTCCTATGTGAACTCTCCAGTGTTTAGAGAAGCTTGAGGGTTCCGAAAAGCACTTTCCACATGCAAGACATTTATAGGGTTTCTCCCCTGTGTGGACTCTTTTGTGCTTAGCCAAGGTTGAGGAATCACCGTAACACTTTCCACACTCCAAGCACTTATAAGGTTTCTCACCAGTGTGGACTCTCCTGTGTATGGCAAAGGCTGAAGAATCAGCAAAACATTTCCCACAATGCAAACACTTGTAAGGCTTTTCTCCTGTGTGGACTCTCTCATGCCGTGTGAGATGTCCTTTTGCTGCAAAACACTTCCCACACTGTAAACATCGATATGGTTTTTCTCCTGTGTGGACTCTCTGATGTCTTACGAAGTTGGATCTGCTAGCAAGACACTTCCCACATGCCAAGCATTTAAAGGGTTTTACTTCCACATGGACCTTCTGGTGTCTCAAGAACTGTAATTTGCGGCCAAAATATTTCCCACATTCCAGGCATTTATATATGTTCTCTGCTGTGTGTGTTCTCTGGTGTCTTGCAAAGGTTGAGGGATCGGCAAAAGACTTCCCACATGCCAAGCATTTGTAGGGTCTCTCTCCTGTATGGACTCTCCTGTGTATTGCAAAGGATGTGGCATAAGCAAAACACTTCCCACACTCTGAGCATTTATATGGTTTCTCTCCTGTATGGACTCTCTGGTGCTTTGCAAAGATTGAGGGCTGAGCAAAACTCTTCCCACAATCCAAACATTTATACAATTTCAGTCCTGTGTGGACTTTCTGGTGGTCCCTCAGAGATGACTTCTGATGAAACCGTTTCCCACAGTCTGCACATTTATGACGTTTCTCTTCTGTGTGGATGGACTGGTGATCCATGAGAGATGATTTCTGACTAAAACACCTTCCACACTCAAAGCACTTATAAGGAAATTTCCCTGTGTGGAATCTTTGGTGCACCAGAAGATGAGATTTCCAAGAAAAACATTTCCCACATTCTAGACATATACAGGGTTTCTCCCCTGTGTGGATTCTCTGGTGGCTTGTAAGATTGGATTTGGTGGTACAGCACTTCCCACACTCTAGACATTTATATGGTTTCTCACCTGTGTGGACTCTCTGGTGGATCATAAATTTTGATTGCTGAGCAAAGCATTTCCCACACTCCAAGCATTTGTAGAATGTCTTTTCCGTATGGACTCTCTGGTGGTTCATGAGATGTGATTTCTGAGTAAAACATCTCCCACACTCCAAGCATTTATATGGTTCCTCTCCTGTATGAACGTGCTGATGTTTGGAAAGGCTTGGTTTCTTTGTAAAATGTCCTTGCCAAACTGTGGGTAAGTGCAATTTTCTACATTCACCTTTGAAGATAAAATAGAAAAATTACTTAAAGGAAGCAGGTTGAAGCAGAAAACAATCATTAAGACTTCAGCAGTATTAACATACTAAATACATAACCAGCCTGTCAGCATCTCCCACTCTTATCTCCAGAGTCTGCAAGTTACTTTTTGGAGCACAACTCCTAGAGTACCCAGCTACCATGGCCACTGGCACTTTTCCAATTACCATTCTGGTTGGGGGTTCTGGGAGTTGAATTCCAAA